TCAATGGCAGGACACCTTTGTTTGGGTGATTCTAGTCATTTGTTATTTTGTAGGCAGTAATTAAATCCCCCTAAGACGACGGTAACTAAGTGCGAATAGGCCTAATTTCTTCAGCCTTTCATCATATGGTCTATTTCGAAGACCAACCGCTCCTTTTGTTGCCCGTCGTTGGACTCTTTCTAAGAGGTTGGCGTCTCTTTCAAGCAGTGGGGTGCAACAATATTGTGCACTTCAAGATGCGGTCTGACGTATGTTTCATACAACCTTAGAAACAGTTCCGGAGTGAGTGCACCTAATTGTCTGTTTGTAAAGTGTATGACCGCATATGCCCTCGCTACATCCCCCGTGTAATTTACGCTTGTGTCCATTTTCTCCGTTAGAACTAGACCTAAGTCACTTTCCGACGTTGAGCAGGACAAGCTTTCATTGCACGGGGTGTAACTTACATTCTGCAGGTGCGTAACTTCACTACTTTTCTCTTTTTCAGGTTGAAAGTCCTGCCACTGGCCACCGCCCAGTCTTCCAGAACTTTTTGATCGTCCTGTAGCCTATCTGAGTCCTCCGGGCACTTTATCGCCCTCTATATCTTCACGTCATCAGCGTATAGAAGAGTCTGGCAGCTTAGACGGCACGGTAAATCATTGATAAAAATCAACAACATCAGTGGTCCCAGGATAGAACCCTGTGACACTCCTGATGACGAGCTGTGCCAAGATGATCGGACTAGATTGACCTTGGTGCAAAATTGACTTTCAGTTAGGTAGTCCTTCAAACATGACAGAAGAGGCTTACCTATACCTGCCTGGCCTTTTTGTGTAGGAGAAAGTCATGGTGAACGGTGACTAATGCCTTCTCAAAGTCCAGGAAGACCACATGGACTGGAACATTCACATCTCAGCATGATGTCCAATAGTCCCAGGCTGATAGTAGGTTTGTTACACAGGATCTGCCATTCCTGAAACCGTGTTGGGCTTCACGGAGTAAATTAGACCTATCGAGGTATTCCCTGATGTGATCGTCAATAATACTTTCCAGTACTTTCGATACCACTGGGAGTAGAGCTACTGGTCTATAACTGGTGGGATTTTGCCTATCCCCACCCTTGAAGATCGGAGAAAGGATGCTTCTTTTCCATTCCTGTGGCAGTTTCCGCGATTCCATGGAGTGTTGAAACAAGTCGCATAAGGGCATACAGAGAGCTTCGGCGCACTGTTTCAGAACAGATGGCCTGATGTCGTCACAACCTGGGGACTTCCCAGGTGTGAGTCGCTGCAGCTTTCCTAGTACTATTGCAGGGTTTATTTGGGGAGTAGCCTCTAGGTCTTCCTCCTGTGAAATAGTCATGCCACCATTTCGGTTCGTAACGGTAATACCCACATTGCTGTTTAGCTGTTTGGCGAAGGCTAAACTGAATGTTTCAGCCATCTCCAGACTAGTGAGATATTGACCGTTTTGGCCTACTAAGGCGCACGCCCCCTGGTTGGTTGGTTTTCTTTCCGACATGAATCAGTACAAGTTCTTCGGGTTTGACAGGAGTTTTTTGGCAAGGTTAGCCTAGAATGACCTCCCGTCCCTCCTGACTCTTGAATTGCACCGGTTCCTGAGTTCCAGGTATGCATCATGGTCGATCTGACTCTTAGATACGCGCCACGTAAACCAAGCCTTCCTCTTTGCTTGCAGAATACGCAGCGTGCCTCTCTTTAACCATGATGACTTTCTTTTGGGCTGTGTTGTGAGTAAAGGGACGGTATCCGAGACTGCTGTATGAATAATCTCTTTTACCACTTCCCAGTGTTCATCCACAGATAGCTCATCCCATGTTAAGGGCCAGTCTGCGTCGGACAAGAGCCTCCGCATTTCAGCATGGTCAGCCTTGCTGTAACACAGACATGGTTGCGTGACGTCCCACTGCAAATGCTCACGGAGAACGAGATCGAAACCCATGACTGCATGATCACTACTTCCTAGAGGAGCCATGATCTGGACCTTTTCGACAATTAGTTGGTCACTAGTTAGAATGTAGTCTAGTTTTGGTGACTTTCCACTAGGGCCCCACCTAGTGTCGTTTCCAACATTCTCAGTCAGTCCCGTATTTTGAATAGTTTGCAGTAGATTTCAGCCGAATTTTCCTTTAGCATACCCCGAGCCAAGGTTCAGCGATGGGACATTGAAATCTCCAGCTATGGTGATTTGGTCATAGCCCAAGTCTCGTATCCCTGTGATAGTGCTGAGCAGTAGCTGATTATGCTCTGCCCCACAGGTGGGAGATCGGTAGATGCCATCAAGTAAATGCTTGGTGTGGCCTACGGTGAAATGACACCATATGGAGTCTGGGAGTCCAATAAGTGGCGGGTCCGTTGCGCTTACATATTTAAGTTGCCTGTCAAAGTATATAGCAACTCCCCCTCCTTCCTTATTATCCCTGTCTCTTGTGACCAGAACCATATCACCTATACTGATTTCATTATTGGCGATAGTGGGGGTTAGCCATGTTTCGGTGAGAATTATCATTTTCAGTTGTAGGTGTGCTTGGAGATTTCGGAGTTCACCTATTTTTCCTCTCAGCCCCCTCACGTTGCTATATAGGCAGCTGACAGTGAGTCTTACAACCTCAGCGTGTTGTGGGGTAGTTGACGTGAAGCTGTCTGCTGGTAGGGGACTTATTGTTAGGACTAGTTGGCCAGTTCCGATGGAACCGGCCCGTTGTGGTTTTTTCCCTTGGATTTAGGCAGGACACTTGTGTGACACAGACTGTTATTCTCAGAACTGCATCGCTCGAGTGTCACTGATGCTTGGGGACGTATTAAAGCCTCCGTTTGATGCCTCCTTATGGTTCGAGGTCTGCTTTCTCAGCATCGGATTTGTCCTCCCGTTTTTCCCCTTGATCTCATACCACCGTTGAAGTGCTATGGCCAACTGCTCTGGGAAGTTGAACTTGACACTTAGCAGCTTTGGGAAGCTAATCAGTGTGAGATGAGCGGGGCGAGGTAGTCGGGGAATTGAGATGGCTCCAGATGCGCCAAGGGCCATCTTAGACGACAGACATCTCCATTTCTGTACGTCATGCATGTGTTTTTCACAAGCGGTGCCTATTCCAGCTCCGGAACACCGTGCACTACCATAGAGGTAGAAGGTATCAGTTCCGGTGACTCCCTCGCCATTTGTCTGATAGCCCATAGTCTGTCTTGTCTCACCCTTATGTTCGAGCTTCTGTCGATGGCTAGTACCTGAGCCATCAATAGTACCTTTTCGGCCTCTTCGGCAGAGTCCAGTGTAACCGGTAATGGGGAGGCTTACCTTGAGGTGTGTGGACACCCCTGTACAACCTGCACAATTTCACTGAACTAATGTTCAGACCTAGTTTATTGCACAAGTTGGACCACTGTTCCTGATCAAACAGAGCCCGCTGTTCAAGCAAGCTGTCTTTGCTCACAGGTACGTTAAACACGATAAGAGAATTAGACCCATTAACCTCAGACTTAGGTTTGGCCTTTGGCTTCTCGTATTCCTTTGCAGCGTCAGCAACTTAAGGCTTCATCGGGTTCTGGCCAGCCTTTATTGTGTTGCCGAGCTTGCTTGTGGATGCAAGTGGGGCTTCTCTAATTCTATCTTTCCTTGATGTTTTGAGCACAACCTTTTGAATCTTCACCTTGTGAAAATTGGCATTTTTAGTCAGCAGGACTGAAGTGTCCTTCTTACTGTCTGTGCCAAGTTTTGGCAGTGTGATGTTGGCAGGTGGGGAGCTACATAAGGCCGTGTTGGGACACAAGGGCGGCGTGTTGTTTCTGCTATCCGCAGACACGCTCTGTGTGACTATGCCAGGGCGACAGAGTGGACATATATACCAAAACCACGGGTTATTTCTCATAAACTCGTAGTATGCTTTCGGCACCTCTGTGTCACAACTGCAGTGCACGCACCGTTTGCAAAAATTGCATTCAAGCGCTGAGTCAGTTTTAGAAACTATGATATTGCACGCCTGGCATTCGCCTCCTTTACTTGATGACGCTGGCTAGGTTTTATGACGTCCTGAACGTTTACTTTTAGGTTTGCTGTGTTCCACACACTGGCTTTCAGCTGATGCAGGCGTAGTATCCTGTTCTGCTGTTATAGCCCGTGCCGTTTCAGTGCTAGACTGTGGCAATGCAGGCGTAGTATCAGGACAGACGAGACCTTCACAAGTCTTTACGATCGGTATGCTGGAAAGGGTTGATGTCCCTGGGGTTTTCCATTCTCTGGCTGAAGCCCTTGTGACTACAGAGTATGGTGTTTCAGTGCATTTTCTAAGGCTTCTTTCGACAGCCATATTAACTATCACTGTGACTTATGCTATATAAGAATAAGAGTGCAACAGTATCTACCAGCAAGAACAAGAATAAGACTGAAAAGTACAAGACAAGGAAAACAAAAGGTTTTCGATTTTACCTAGTACTTTCTGGATTATAGGCTTCACAGCAATCACATGGTAGACCAGCAAGTCTTGTTTATCTGAATGAGTGAGGTAGATGCTGCTAGAAAAGTAGCACCTTAAGCTTTGGCAGTAGTTCGAGACAGCTGGACTTACCACATAGAGATTCGATATGTAAGTAATGGTTGAATTTAATTCACCGGCTAGGAAGATCAGGTTTCCCAAGCGGATAATTCACAAAATAGGTATTTTCCGGGTGGAAAGGAAAAAGCACGTCATATTCAAGGAACGCGCCTGAAAGAGTCTCTGATTGGTTCTTTCAGAAGGAAAAAGCAAACACAGCCGTCGGACAGAAAAATATTGATGTAAACAATCTATCGTTAGCCAAAAGTGTGACTCCGAATCTTGATCTTACGTACTGTGAAGCGCAGGTTTATGAAATATGCGCTACATCATTTAGTCTCGATTTTGAGACATATTTGCGTATCGTGCTTTAAGACACATGTGAATAAAAACACCTAGGAATATGTCAGGAATTCCATCTGCCTAATATTAGTGAAATGTGCCGGAACTTACTGAATAGATCTCTTTGATGGAGGTTTTTCAACCAATTACGCGTCCTGCAGAAGTAGATTTTAAAAATTCCTAATTACTGTGTTTAGTATATAGGGTCGTTCCTTGTCTCAGGCAAAGGACATCATGAACGTGCGGAGATTGTCCGTCAGAAGTTGGAGGCTGCTCGTGTAAGTACGCAGATTTCGACTGTGAAATTTAAATAAATTTTTAGCTTAAGCAGACTTAAACTCAGCTATTAATGTTTAAATATACCTATGAAAAGAAGTACTGACTCTTCATTCGAACGTGATTCTTCTTGTCTTTTGTGAATTAGACACCTTTTATCATAACATGTCTGCGAATAAACTGGCAAGTCTATGTCTAGCCTTGGCTGGAGTTCGGTTTCAGTCAGCCAATACAGCGCTCAGCGCCCATAGCTATATGTTATCATTCATTTGGCTTTACAGCAATATGACCAGGTGATCGTGCAACTAGTATTAGTTGGTGGAGTTAAACTAAAGCAGTGACCCCGATCAACCTCACCACTAAATATTAGCAACTAATTAGAATTAAGGGTAAATAAAAGTCACAGAACTGTTAAGAAGGTGGCTGCAGACCACCGATTTCTTAGATTAATTATTTCCCTTACAACACAGAAGTCACGCAGTCGATGTTCCAGAGCAGAGGGTGTAATTTTATTTGGTTATGCCTAATGTAGTCCCAATTGGTTGTAGGAGGTCTTGTATCGGGGTGGCTGTTGTAGTTTTATTGTCAAGGCTCATTCTCATTTTTAAAAACGTTTAAAAGATACAAACAAACCTATGCTATTGTAATAATTTAGGAAACCTTGTCAGACAGGAAATACCTGCAAATGGATAGTTGTTCGATTCACAAAGGGTGTGGATAGAACAAAGTTTGTGACTGCAGTCTTATTTCAGAATAAAGTTAAGCTAGGTTAATTCAGGTGGACTGAAGCTGGCTAACACTATATTAATTTTTGGTATTACGTTTTAGTTGGTGCTGTGGTCGATAACAGTGGTCTGTCTTATTGATTCGTTATCCGTACATTTCTTGAAATAATCATATCATCACAATCATTTGCAGTGTTGTACTTTCAGACATGCTGGGAAATTTATGTTGTGGGACAAATGAACGAGCTGTGGGTAGCTAATTCGTTCCCAGCTTTCAACCATTTGTGGATCCTGAACTCTATCTACTATAGCCCAGGGAGTTAAGTATTGTCACAACCGTTACTGTTCTAAATTGAAATCGGTATAAACCTTACGTCATATTGCGATGTTTTATATATGTTAGTTTCCAAACTCTTGCGTTCAGCGATCTGTGTTCTTACATTTTGTTTCAGAAATATACCCATAGCAAACCAATCACGTTACTCATATCGCTAAGCGGAGTTAAAGTCTGCCATGAAAACAATGAGGTGAGTGCTTTGTGATGAGTGTTTTTACGCGTCCGGTTGTGATATCCAAGTTTTCTTAGTACTTTTCGATCTAAAATTCATGGATTGCATTATGTAAACGAAAGCAAGAGAGAATTCTTCAAGCATTAGGTGTGATCTGACCAACAACTGAATGAGAATAGAACTTCCACAGATATGCACAAGTTAAATTTGTATGTGATGGTAACACACTTGTTGGTTGGAATTCTTATCCATTGAAGTTTTATTACTGTATTGAATAAGAGCCAAGTCGTAGACTGAGTTGTCAGTTTTTATAGTCTTAAGTACATATAAATTCAGACTTAATTTAATGTTCATCACTAGTCAGACAATGTTACTCATGCGATGCAGTGATTAGTTTATCAGTTGTATGTGTAGTCATTGTTTTTGTGTTTATTAGTTATAACAAGCACATTAATTGAGCAACTTTATTTTCGTGAGAGATTACCGCTTAATCAATTCGTCCTGTTTCTATTTTTCGATTGATCAACAACTACTTACTTCAATAAATTCTGTTGGATACTGGCGGAAAGAGTAATCTAATATCAAGTAGCAAAGTTCTATGCTGAATGCCCTGCTGTGTAGCAGTTTTAAACAGATAAACATTATCTCCAGTCTTAGTATCATACATGCTGGAAATGGTCCGTCTCATTTTTTGTTTGACTGCAGTTATAGTGCAGGAGTTAAAGCTTTTTGTAGTACCGAGTTATACCAATGAAGCATAAGCCGAAAAGACTATACAAACCGACCTTATACTGTGTAGCAATGGTGAAGCTACCAATTGTAACATGTTTGACTACTTCGGAAAGAATTAATATCAATAGTTGAGACCTTTATGTACACGTGTAATCCAACTATCAATCATCTTCATTGTTGCCTAATAACTCTAATGTCTTCGTGTCACTTTGCGATGTCCTCCACTTTTCTTTGGCCCATTAACCTGTGACTACTGGTCTTTCTAATGAACTAGCATATTTATTCTCCCGAAATTCTCCTAATTAGCTGCGTAAGCATCTAATTTATACATTTGGTACTACCTTTGACATCACACCTAATAGCTAAAATTGATATCCAAGGTCGTTGTGTACTGTGTTGCTAATGTACACATATTCATAATTCCATTTAGGAAGTCAGAAAAAACTTAATTCAATTCAGTGACTATAAATTTTTCCCTAAAGGTGAATGTAAGCAGAAATCAGAAAAGTTCACTTCAATAAACATATTCTGGAAGTGGTGGCTACGCGAAGCCAATGTTTTTTTTTCTTCGAGTATTTTAGCTGCATCATCAACTTATACATTGTTGGCAACCTAAAAGTTTCAGTTTCCTGTAAATTTCTCAAGACAAAACTTATTTCATCATCATCAGGAATCATCTTTATCTATGTGTAGTTATTTGTCTTTATCACCTTTTTACTTTTAGCATTATTTCCTCTTACTTTTTTCTACTAAGATCACAGTGACAACTTCATTTTGAAGCTAACCACACAGTTATTAGGCAACAGGCTTCATCAACTAGCTATCATATCTCAGGTTGTGAATATATTTGCGTTCTAATGTGCTTACACATAATTCAATTATTTACTTAACGTTTTCTGAAATGTTAGTTGGTACAATTTACTATATTATATCTGAAGGATTAAATGTGTAGTCCCTATTGATTCGATGGAAATAGTAGTTGTAAAACTCTAAACACGTGAAAATCAAGTATTTATCTATTTAACAGTTAACTAAACATAGTATTCACTATGGAGACAGTGTTTTTCATAAGAAAACAATACGTGGTTACAGTGTTGAGGCTATATTTGTTTTGGAAACAAAAGCTGTATCTGTTGTTTCAGAAAGTCTGATTATTCAAAGGATCCTTGTTAAGATGTGATTTATTTCAGTTTTTTATGGTTTACGGGTAGCATGATAATCACATTTGATAATAAACATAGATACAGAAATAACTAAGTTATGAATTTCAATCTACTTTTAGCTCTTTACTGTCCGTAAGTTCATTATGTTATCATAAAATATGAGCGGTTCTTTACAACTTCTTGTTCCTAATGGTAGGTTTCATATACTTGTGACTTTCAGACATTTAAAAGCCTCTATCTTTAATCAATAAAGGACGTTAAATAATTTCGCTATTTTTCACATAATTTGTTGTTTACATTCTGGTGTATACATGTCATGTAATTAGGGCGTTTTTAAAAATATACATATTTAAAGATGGTAATTTCAGCTTTAAGGATGACTCAGTAAAAATTACATTTTTGCTGTTCATCAATGACTTACATAAATTTAGATTAAGAAAAGGTAACCTGGACAGTTAAGACCTAATTAAGTCGAGTATTTGGATTAACAGACCATAATTGTTAACGGTTTAGTGATTTAATTGAATTTTTAGATTTTCTCGTCGATCGATTGGACCGAAGTGCTCGGTCTCAGGTTGTCATGTCGGCTTTTTGTGCAGATGCTTCGACGATGTCTAGGCATGTAATTAGAATTTAATTGGTGGATGGTGACTAGCAGTGGAATCTAGGATGCGCATTTCGTCCTATTTGGGGCTCGTCATCGGATGTACCTGCACTCCCCAGTGAGTGATGATGTTCCCACCTAGGCTCATGGCGTTTGAAACTATGGGCAGTGGGTTCGAGCCTCGGTGGGAACATCATCATTCACTGGGGAATGCAGGTACATGCGCATCCTGGATTCCACTGCTAGTCACCATCCACCAATAAAATGGTTTAGTGTTTTGTTTTTTGTTTACAACAGACCCTTAAGTCTGAAGGCATGGTTTGCCATAAGTTAATAATGTACATGATATTAGGGAAGCCTAAATAGTTTTGTCTGCATAAAGAGATATTTGGAAATATTACTACTTTCTGCTTTTACCACTGCTGCTTGTTATTTCTCTTCAGATCATATTTCTTTACGATATCAATTGTTTTGTACACAAATGCATATAGTGTCTGGTATGGTAGCACTACTTTATGAGGAAACTTTAGATTTCTGATTATGTGTAAAGATTTTCAGAAATCAGGCGTTGTTTCGTAACTTGAGTCTCTTCTAAAATATTATATCGTAAAATTGGTGACTGTTAAAAAAATACCACTCAGGGAGTAACGTCATTGTCTTGAAACCAAAAGGTTTTTCATCAGTCTGATACAATATTCTAAACTAAAGCAAAAAACCTCAGTGCAACTTTTCACTTCGAGTATTTCTTTAGTCACTGATTTTGCACAACACTTATCTCATTTTTATTAATTTCTTTTGTTTCTAAAAATAGCGAGTTTATATGGCTCATGCACTTCGTCGTATATCGTATGCCACATGTGACCCAGACAATTTTCAGTTTGCTTTCCTTGCTAGGGAACCAAAAGCTCAACCAAACATTCAGTACTGTCATGCGTTTGTCACAGCAACACCTGAAGCGGTAAGCTTTTAGTGAAATTATGTCCTTATGCTTATGGGTAGGTTTTTATAGATAATTTAAACAAGGTACATAGGTCCATCTATTTAGTGTTGGGGTGCTATATTACATAAGAGGCTTGTCTATATTACTCACTGACTGACATTCCTTGATATACTTTATTACCAATGCTCATGTCTAAGATAGCTTCGTAGTTATCAGGGTTTTTTTCTGTTCAGTCTTCTGAATTAATGTGAAGAGATTTTGCAAGTCTTTTCCTTCAGTTTCACTCTTCCTAACCAATGTTGTCGACTATTACTGTTGGCATTTTTAGTCAGTTAACAGTTATATCATTTTCTTGGCCAGTCAAAAAGAAGTTCCGCGCATAAATTAGCCAGTTTTGGCTTTAGAATTCCAGTAAGCTTCTTCAATTTATGATAGCAGATCACTTGTTTTCTCTGTCTCTAAAGAACACAAAAGGTGACAGTTACTGCCACCTTTTACACAACTGATCACTCTTCGCCAGTGATGTACCAGTTTGTAGATCAGACAATATTATGTGCATCGTGTAACACCAAGATATACTAATTGGAGATGTAATTAATTACCGGCAAAAATTACAGAGGGTGCCCACTAATTTTGGTTTCCAGTAGTCAAGTTCCTAAAATACACATGAAATACCAATTTTTTCCAACACAACTCAGTCTTTGTACGCTTAGGTGTTTGCCAGCTGAAGATATTTGTACGCTGCACTTCAAATGCTGTTGATAGCTTCTCTTCTATTATGCTAATGGAATCGCAGGCGGTAGTTGCATTTTTAGAAGTGACGAATAGATGTCGCAGCTTTATTTCTAACGCTATAAAAGTCAGTCGTTTTAAATTAACAATTATTAATTCACTTTTTTTCGATTGGATTTATTTCTAGCTAGTATGGTATAGTCAGCGGTCGCCATGCCACTTGTCTACCGTTTTGTTTTTTCCAGCAATGCGTTAATATTTATTAACCAACCACGCACGTGGCCTGGGGTTCGATCCCCGGCCGATGCACTCCTAAACCTCGCTGAGCCGGTGGTAAGACTGGTAAAGAGAGAAGATTGAGTGTGAAGCTAGTAACCCCACCCTATAAAGATAAAACTGCTGCTACCGAGACTTCAAAGCTCCAGCTTGAGGCTCTATGTTCTCCTCGGAACGTAAAGGAATGAAATAAATAATAAATAAAAAAGTTGCGTGTATTCCGTTGTTTTTCTTTAAAATTTTGGATAGAATGGTTTATTTTTATGTAAATTTTTAAAAAAATATTCTAAATTTTTCTAATAAAACATTGCTGCTTTGTAGGCAGAAGAACTTAATACAATAATGGGGGAAGCTTTTCGTTTGGCATATGCTCAACAACGCCTTAATGCAGCCTCTAATAATCCGAATTTGTTTCAACCATCCAATATAAGTTCATCATTATTTCAGACGCAGCAAACTCCTGTAAATGTCACTCGTTCCGTTTCCACAGGTCAAAATGTCCCGGTCAACCTCAACTCTCCAAAGTAAGTCCTTTTTCCCTACTTAATTTTTATATTCCCAGATTTCTGTAAATCATTTTTTCGCTGTCTATTTACGCAGATGTTGTGTATTTGTGAAAGTAGTCTTACATATTTCGATGCATAAACAAAGTACACGATTCTTTCCGTTACTGACTGAATTTGCTTTAATGTAACATATAATTCAGCGGGTAGGCTTGAGACGGTCAACATCTGAAATGTTTCTTGTGTTTAAGTCTCAGTAATTGTTTTTAGATATGCCATCAACTTTTCCAGTTGTATTTATGCACTGATAACATTTCAGAGGCGGCTACATAATATTGCTTATGTTATTCTGTAGGATTATTACCCGACCGATAGCTGCTACTTTGACGTGGTGGTCGGGCTTGCACACCGCGATGACCCAACAAGCTACACTGGCTGGAACAAATGTTCCTGCAGGTTATACCATGCCAGGAAGGTTGTTAGGATAGCGATTAGACTAAAAACAGTCAACGGCACAGTGTAAGAATTTTCTTCTACATTATGCTGGGAGTCTGTGGACGAAGTCGTACTGCTGGGGAACAGGGGTCTAACAATAGTAAGGTGTTTCCCTCAGATGACCAGCATGCCAGCCACATATGCTGTCTCGCCACTCTGGAGAGAGGCGGTTAGAAAGGTCGATCCCAAAAATTGTACATCCCGTAACCGGCGGTTAGTTTACTAATACGGAAGCAAACCAAGAAACCAGTTCATACAGGCCGTGTGTGACCGGCCTCGAGCAGTTGTCCCCTGGGCTCTGCGGTCACGCAACAATAACTCTCTCTCTCTGTTTCAGGTACCCAAAGAATCAGGCAACTTCCACGGTGTGGGCAGCCGGAAAGTAACAACCGCCCACACACTCCCAAAAGCACACAGACAGACAGACAGTAGGATTATTAATTCTGACGATATAACCGAGGAGCCTATGAGAAGCGTGATTTAGTTCTTTCAAAATTATTAACTGAGATTGCTTTCAAACTAACTTTGCACCGTGGCTTTTCCTGACGCAGTAGTTGTACCGTGTCCAGTAATGATTGCTGTGTGGTGTTTTTGTAAATGAATGTCTCCATTTATTTTTTTTATTTTGATTTACAGCTTGATTCCACACCGTATTTTCAGTACAAGTGTGGAATTTTCAGCATGGATATCGGTAGCCCAAATTCAGGCCGACCATAGATATCGGGTGTGCGCCGGCAGGGGATCGAACCCCGGACCATGTGCATGGTCGGCGAGAGTCCTAACCACTGTGCCACCGACGCATTATTGTAGCTTCACATATATATCTGGTGTAGGCTGTAAGATCTGTTTCAAAGTCTTACCAATGCCGGCAGTAGTGAAATTCATTTTTCTTTATGCGAATACTACCCATTTTGGTCGATTCTCACCTTTTGAAATAGCCTGGATAATAAAATTGAATTTTTTCATCACTTTACCTCTTATTTTCTTAGTCAAGGTGTACAAACTGTCAATACAAATCCCAGCAATGATAGTCAAATAATCATGTCCAATAAACCTTTACCGCCTTTACCAGAATCTGAACAATGTGTAGCTGCATGTGATGAGGAGAACATTCAGTCGAATGTTGGCAACGTCACTGATAAACAACGAGGAAATAAAGCTCACAAGTAACTATTATTATTATTATTATCATTTTATTGTTCTGTTTTATTTTGATATAATTTTTCTTCAATTGGTCTGAACTATTTATTTGCATATGTATCTCAATACTGTGTGCGTCGGTGGCACAGCGGGTAGGACGCTTGCCGACCACGCACATGGTCCGGGGTTCGATCCCCGGCCGACGCACTCCTTTACCTCGCCAAACCAGTGATAAAGCTGGTAAAGAGGAAAGGTTGGGCATGAGGCCAGCAACCCTATCCCGCAAAATCTGAACACCACTGCAACCGAAACTTCAAGCCTCTAGCTTGAAGCCCTATGTTCCACTGGGAACGTAAAGGAATAAAAAAATCTCAATATTAACTTAAATACAGCTTTTATTGTTTACAGCTGTTACCTAACTCCTTTATTTCATTTGTTGATGGAAGACAAAATAGGTTTTATATTCATTAGAAGTGTAAGAATAAGGAGAATGACCCTTCTGTTCATTTATGCTCTTAACAGTTACATTATCTCACTTAAGGCATTCTCGGTTACGAAGCCATAGTTCCAGATACGATAACGTTATGCCATATTGAAGCATTCGCTCTACAAAAATCTTTTGATTTTTTTGTTTACCATTTCACAGACATAAACACCACAAGCATCATCATCGTCATAAATTACGGGATGCGACAACAAGCACAAGTGAACAAGCTGTTGGAGTTGGTGATTCTGTTGAGGCAGTAGTACAAAAAAACAGTGAAATGGAAAGGTTTGTAGAAAAGAATGATCAGTTGAAACCACCACCTCCTCCTCCGCGTAGTCAATCATCTGTGACACCATCTGGTCAAGGTCAAGTTTTAAACACTGCATCATGCACTGTAAATCACATGAACCAGGATGTTGATTCAGGGAATTCAGGTGTTAAACGCAATGAAACTGTTGCGAACAAAAGTGTAGAGAATGTTAACGATGCTCCACCATTGAGACCTAAGTCTGTGAATACTCAGTAAGTCGTTTGTATTCTATATATCTCACATTTATCCTGCTGTTAACTGGAGCTATTTATGAAAGTAAACTGTAGCATCGTGTATGTTACTCAAATAGCTTCAATTGGGTTTGGCGTAGCGCAGCAGCTTTAAATATGGGTTACAGCCAGTGTCGTATAATGAATTTTATTGATTTAAAAGTTTTTTTTCACTGATGATTGTCATACTGATCTTGTTAAAAGTCACACATTAGGAGGCTTTTAGTGTACTTGTATTCAAGTCTTCATGTTAACTTATCCGGCCCAGAATTTTCCTTTACTAGGTGACGAGCTACAGTTATTTCACGAGGGATGATGATATGACGTAGTTGCTCAGTTTGAGGTAAGTGGAATGGAATCTAGAAGTAGGAATTACTAGCTGCATATCAGGTGCTCTTTGTATAGCTTACATAAACAATCTATAGAACTGTAGATAATTGGGCTATGCTCTTGGATTCCAGCAACTGCGTCACAGGTTCCGGCCACATTCCACCTAGCTAAGTTTGGGCATCCAGATGATATTACTTGCCTTCACACCATAAATGGGGCTCATTGCCAGCTTCATGGAAATGCAAATGGTATTATTGTTATTATTGTATCCTTTAATTCCTACAGGAACATAGGGCTTCAGCCGTGCGTCTCCATTGCGTTCTGTTCTCTGCTAGAGTCTTCACCTGGTTCCATGTCTGCCCACACGTTTTCATCTCCTCTTCACATGATCTCCTCCAAGTCACCCTCACACTGACGACCAACTCGCCGCTTCCCATTCAGTCGGGTTCCACTCGAGCAATGGCTTGTCTAGTGATGTCACTTGATGGTTTCCTCAGAGTATGGCCAATCCATCTCCATTTCTTCCTGCCTATTTGTTTCATAATCGGTTCCTGGTTGGTTCGCTGCCAAAGATCCCTGTTGCTGATCTTTTCTGGTCATCTGATCTTGATTGGCATTGAGCGAAGATAGCTGTTAATGAAGGTCTGTAGTTTGTTTGGGATGCTCTTTATGACGCGCAGTGCAAGTCTCTGATCCGTATAGTAAGTGGCACTGACTTCACATTGGAGTTGAAAATCCGGATCTTATTTTTGATTCTGAGTGTTGTTGACCTCCACACAGACTTGAGCGCGGTAGGTAGTTGGTTAATATTTTCTATACATAAACAATCGTTGTCTCAGACAGGCAGATATTACTGTGTAGAAATCCAAGTAGCTACACCCTACCACTGCACCTCAATTGTGAAAGGTATAGTACGAAATTAGCCTGATATAAGTCCTTCACCTTCAATGGTCTTGTTTCTCAGCTTTCTCTTAGGACAGAGTCCAAGTTGCACCATACACGAAAAATGTACATTTTTATATGTAAGTTTTCATAACAAATGATGATGGTAATGCAGAGAGACATTTGTAAAAAATTATATTTGTAAAGTCTCAGCGAGAGTGAAATGAGTAATTCCAACGTTTCGTTCGGCAATCTGGACAAATTTTCAAAAACAAGTGATGTTCCTTATTATATATAAACCTATGTTATGTTAATTTCGATTAATTTCCCTGAAGAAGTTCGGACCAGATTGCCGAACGAAACGTTGGAATTACTCATTTCAATCTCGCTGAGACTTTACAAATATAATTTTTTACAAATGTCTACTTCTCACTCGCCGCCCAAATATTTTAGAACTATTCTGTCAAATCTTGACGACAGTTCATTTGAAGTAATGCAGAGAGTTTAAAATTATAGTAACTTGAGTTTTTTTAACTGTTTAAATCCTTATAGATTATCACAACATTTTTATGATATGGCTGATCATCGAAGTTGTGGCGGTATTTCATTCGACAAAGAAACTCTTACCACCAATGATGAAAAAGACATTCAAGAATGTAATCCTGAATTCACTACGGATAGTGTTCTTGCCAATACGTCTACAGCGACAACAACATCTTCATCAACTACTGGCTGTTCAACTGCAACATCTGGCTCAGGTTGTTTAGGCTCAGGTTCTGATAACAGTTTACCAGCTGGTAAGCGTTGTACTTGCGTTCCAGGTTGCTCCAATTGTGAACATGCCTGTGTAACGACGGTCAATAATAATAATGCAAATCCTGGAAATAACAATAATAATAACAGCAACAACAAACTGTTGAAACCCAATGATCATCATTTACCTGTTCCTCCTACATCTCCATGCTCTACTCCAAACTTTTCTTCACGAAATATTGTAGATGATGTCAATGAATTGTCTCATGCACCTTGGTATCTTCCAAATCTACCACGTGATAAAGCTTTGGAAATGCTTGCCAAACAACCCGTATGTTTACTTCGTATAACTAGTAACATTGGAAATATTTCATTTTTGTTTCTACGTGTGTTCATTGTCGTAATAGTTAACTGTTTGATTTAGATATAATAGAGAAGATTTGTAGCTCAGGTGGATGATTTTGGTGTGGTTGTGTTCTCTGAGCTGGATGGTTTGGTTGCGAAGCTTTCATTGCTCTACTGAGCAACATCTTCAGTGCATACTTCGATGTGAACTATGAAGACTTCACATCGAAGTATGCGCTGAAGATGTTGCTCAGTAGAGCAATGAAAGCTTCGCAACCAAACCATTCAACTCAGAGAACACAACCACACCAAAAAGTTAACTGTTTAGAAGCTTCAAGTGTTGGTGTTTGCAGGGATTTGATTGATTGATTACAGGATTTCATTATGAACTGACATTGGTTAGAGAACCATTGGAAAGCCCACCAGGGAGGACTGAACAGCTGTTTCGTCAGCCTTTATCAGTACTCACCCAGGACGTCTACAAGCCCACCTTGTAACCAAAAGGTCCTAGTTTCGAACCTCAGTCGGTGCGTACTATTTAGAAGCTATTTGACCATTTCTGATCATTCTGGAAAAAGATCCGGTTTTTAAAATATTTTTGTTCGAATCAGAACTGGGTATTCATTAGAGGCAACAAGCTAGCTACTGCATAAAATAGATATGCCAATCAATTCGGTGAAAGTGGACACGAAATTACTACCGTTTGGCGTACTACTTTATTTCGCTACCCATTCGATAGGATAGACTTTTAGGCTGCTGATCGTCAGACACAGTCATGTTGAAACCTAAAAAGTATATAGTTATTGAGTCGCATCGGGTATTCGGGTGCGTCGGTGGCACAGCAGTAGAATACTCGCCGACCACGCATGTGGTGAGGGGTTTGATCCCCGACCACTGACGCACTCCATTACCCCTCTAAGCCAGTAATAAGACTGGTAAGGGGGAAAGGTCGGACATGAGGCTAGCAACCCAATCCCGCAAAATCTGAATACCACTGCTACTGAAACTTCAAGCCTGTAGCTTGAAGCCCTATGTTCCACTGGGAACGTAAAGGAATTAATAAAAACAAAATAATAGGATATTCGCCCATAGAAACCGAATCACTTGACACCAAAAGGGGTTGGTTCAAATGGTTTTTTCTATCATCAGTAACTTGTTTCTTGCAGAGAAGATGCTTGTGGTTGAAACAGCTATTAGTTGGTACATTCAGGATCATAAAACAGTCTTTTGCAGTAGTGTGTTATATTCTGAGTATTTGGCTCCAGGAGTGATTTACCTATTCATGAAATCAAGAATACTACAGTTTCAATGACTTTATTTATTTATTTATTCACAGATTGCATCTGACTGAAAGATCCAAAGAGTTTTCAGTAGTCCCCGAAAACGCATGTTTCTTAAACGATTTTAAAATGTCATTCAGATGACTCAAGTGTGACTCTAAACTTCGTCAATAGAAATTGCCTAGTAATTTTAGCAGAACTGCACATCACTGGTTATCCTTGAACAGCTTATCAGACTTTTAGAGTTCTTGTTTAGAAAAATACTCTGCGTAATAACACTGTTATGTGTACTTGCTTACATGAGTGTTTGTTCCAGACAACGGAGACTGAAAACACGATGATTGTGCCAATTACATAGTTTCTTTGTTAATTTAATTCGATAGCAAAATTATTCAAAAGAACTGTCGTCAAGATTTGACAGAATAGTTCTAAAATATTTAGGGCCGAGTGAGAAGTAGACATTTGTAAAATCTCAGCGAGATTGAAATGAGTAATTCCAACGTTTCGTCCGGCAATCTGGTCCGAACTTCTTCAAGGAAATTAATGGAAATTAACAGAATGCATATCCTAAATCCGTAGCTGTCGAGTCACCTGACAACTCCAGTAGGTCGAATAAAGCAGCTCAGTCTTCAGAAAGAAGACAAAGCAATAAATCCGACCGGGTGCTTCTACTAAACGCTAATCCCAAACACCATAATTTTGAAAATACGTCTAATCACAAAATTCTAGATACTAACAGTTTGAACAGACGTGAAGGCGTGATGTTAGCTGATGCATAGGAAATCCTTATTAATAAATAAAAATGGATATGTATCACTAATTATTAGTACTTGGTCAAAATTCTCGACTGTCCATATCTTCCTATGGAGACGTTAAGAAATGTTTTACAACTGTTTACACACACGCGCATGCACACTCTGTTTAAAGTGTTTAACAAAGGTAGACCAATATTTGTAAGTCCGAGGTCAAATTTTGATCACAGCTCATAAAATTTTGTTTATTATACTTCTTGTTGAATGACTCATGATTGGACAAAGTTTTTAAAAACAAGTGATGTTCCTTTTATATATAAACCTCTGTTATGTTAATTTCGATTAATTTCCCTGAAGAAGTTCGGACCAGATTTCCGAACGAAACGTTGGAATTACTCATTTCAATGTCGCTGAGATTTTACAAATATCTAATTCTCACTCGGCGCCCAAATATTTTAGAACTATTCTGTCAAATCTTGACGACAGTTCATTTGAAATCCATATCAATTAAATTACTAAATTTTATTTATTCATTGTTCTGAATGTCCCCTTGTTTTCATCTGGCACTTGTATTTATTGTTTCATAATAGCCTGGCAGCTTTGTTGTACGAGATAGCGGAAGTCATCCAAATAGTTATGCCTTGTCAGTACGGTCCAGTAGTGATCATTCAGTCGGTAGTTGCTTCCATTCCAGACAATCACAGGTTCCAATAAGTCGAATGAAAGATGGGCTTCCTTCATTGGGATCAGTCTATCCATCTTCTGCCAGTGGAATAACTCATTTTCTGATTCAAAAGACACCAGGAGGTGGTGTCAAGCTTAAAGTAGGTGGATCTGAAGGTATTTCTATTTCTTAATTTTTTTCTGACATGTCTGTTGTGTAATTTACTCCGTGACAATATTCCTTTCTGTATTGGCTAGTTAATCCTATTCTAAAGGCAGTCGAATTCGATGACAATAACACAACACTGCAGAATATTTGTACTATTATTGCTTGCATTTGTTCGAATGATAAAAAGCCATGAAACCTGGCTATGTAGCGCGAGGCTTCCTGTTGGGCGTACTTTAAAAGTCTGTCTGTCTGGATTTAACATAGAACTTGGCACCCAAGTGCACCAGGTCGAGTTGCCACGATCCAAATAGCACACAAACGTAGACAAGAAAATGAGTGAAGAGAATCAATAGAGTTTTGACAAGTATAAGAGTGAAACAGAATGAGTAATGGTAGAAAGGAATATGAAAGATTACAGAGACTGAATACATCTGCGTAAGCCATTGACAACGATTTTGAGCCATGTCACCTATTGTCTGTCTCCAACCATTGATTCTTAGAGTCCCGAGGGCGGGCCCCAACCCGGAAGTCTGCATCTCCCTTCCTACCTGACTCAGTTTAACTGTCAAGGATTTCATGGATTGATGCCATGTTTTTGTTTGGCCACCACTTACTCTTTTCCAACCTGCACGTATATCAGCTAGTAACTTTGAAAGTACTTTCATCTGTGCAATTTTACAATTATGGTTGACTTTTAGTATAAGTGTTGTCTAAAAGCGCTCTAGGAATTCTGATTCTTCGAACTGAAAAATTGTCTTTCAGAAGTCAATGAAAAATTAGGCTTCATGATTTGAATTTTCACAGTCTGATAACTGGTTTCAAAATCAGAAGTTTATATGACTGAAATGATCTATAGTGTCACTGGTTATACTTTGTGATTCCACCACGAATACATATTATACGAATAGATACGAATAGTTGGAACGGTTAGATGTAACTGCTTCCCAATAGGCAGTGGTTTATCTTACTTATATTACGGATTGTATAAATATAGTACCAATACCAAAACACCTTTTTCTGTACAGTGTTTTTGTCTTATCCTATTTACTTTTAAACTTATTTTGTTTTAGGGTTTAGACAAAGAATGGCCATCTCTTGCTTGTCTCGTACTACATCTAACTGTGATGCCTGAAATGCTTCCTTGTCCACTAAGACTGCCAAGAGCAACTGCCAATCCCACCTTTTCACCTGTTGATCATTGTGGTAATACAGATTTCGAAAAGCCTCCAAATGTTACACCATCACATTTTCGTCCAATGGGTGGTAATAATGCTTTACACCGTGGGACAGATACAATTTCCCTCGATGAAGCTTTAGCTCGTATGACAGATGAGGATGAAGATTATCAAAGATTGTCTGATTTCTCTTCCATTATGGCTGATTTGAAACTGCAGCCTAGAAATATGATTAGAAAACAGAAAAATTCATCTTCTAAATCCGGTGGTCGAGCTAGGTAGATAGATATTTTCAGCCTTTTGTTCAACAAACTTCACAACTGATTATCCCAATATATCTGTCACTTCTGATACAATCACCCCGGTAATGAAATTTATTTACTTATTTATATATTTATTTACAATGAAAGGAATTAATTTCTGCTTTTATTTATTTTATCACTTTTTGTAAAGTTTATCATTATTTCTAGCATTGTATTCTTCATTGCAATACACACAGACACACACACTACCTCTTTCTCTCCTCCCCCCTTTCTCTTTCTCTCTCTTTCTCGTTACAAACATAGTTGAAGTGTATTCACAATGAAATCTAGTCAAAGTTTCACACTAACACTCTCTTAGTCTGTTTGTCTGTCTGTTTCATCTCTTCATTATTGAATGCATAATGATGATGATGATATATTATGGGTTCATATAAACCCTAATCTATAAACAACATCCTATATAATAAATAATAATATTTCCTTTTTGTATAAATTTATTATTATTACTATTACTTTTTCTTCTTGTTGTATCTTGTGTATAATTTCTTTTATTTCATTGTAAAATCTTTTCACTTGTTTGTTTTTATCTTTGAATTGGTGTTCTATTGTCATTATCTCCTGTTGTTGCCGCTGCTGCTGCTGCTATTGTTCTGTTTTTTGTTTGTTTTGTTTTTTAATTCTTTTATTTTCACCATTCTAATTTGTCTTTACTTCATTATCATGTGCGTCGGTGGTGGTGGCACAGTGGTAGAATGCTTGCCAGCCACGCCTCGCGTGCTCCGGGGTTCGATCCCCGACCACTGGACGCGCACTCTTACACCTCGCTTAGCCAGTAATAAGACTGGTAAAAGAGGGGAAGGTTAGCCATGAGGTTAGCAACCCCACCCTGTAAAATATCAACAACAACACTGCTGCCGAAACTTCAGGTGTTTAGCTTGAAGCCGTATGTTCCACTGAGAACGTAAAGGAACAAAAAAAAACCCGATTATTAATGGATATTCTATTATTTTCGCCTTTCTAATTTGTCTTTACTTCTTCCGTCTTCATTTTTATATTTATTTTTTTTTTTGGTTTTTGCTTTCTTTTCATTAATTAAAATTGTAAATGCTGGTTGTTGTTTTTTTCTCGTATGAATTAATTTCATTTTGATTATTGTTGTCATTGTTGCTGAGGTTGAGGTTGAGGCTGATATCATTTTGCAACCTTGGATCCAGACTTTGGAGATACATTAGTAGTGCAATAAACACTTACATAAATACATACACATGTATATGTAATTTAAGTACTATATATATTTTGTATTTTTTTTGTTTTGTTTTAATTATCTCTTTCATTGCCTTTTCCATTGTCCATATGATGAAATGTTTACTCGAAGTCAAGTGAACACTATATACTACCATATATATATAATACTACCTAGTTATTATCATTATTTTTATTTTTTAATGATCTCAATAAAGCATTTATTGTCATTACTTCCAATGATTTAGAATGATGTGGGGGGTCACATCATGCTTTTTTATTATTAAAAAGGAAATCTCATTATGTAGAAAAGAATAAACATGTGTGTTTGTATGTGCGCGTATGGTGTACACATCTTCTAAGTTAAGTAATTTAAAAATTCTTCTTCCTTTAAAATAAACCTGTAGTTTTTGATTGTGCTTTTGTTTTTTCTTTCTTTTTTGCTCCTCCTCTTTTCCTCCTCCTCCTTTGAATTTTGCTTAAATATATATAAAGCGTGCAGACACACGATTGAATTGAATTCAGTGTTGTGTGTTGTATAAGAGATAGAATTGAATCATTGATGATACTGTTTGTTTTTTCTTTGCATTCATTTATTGAAGTCAATTGGTGGATGGTGGTGGTGATTGACTAGCAGTGGAATTCAGAATGTGCATTTTGTCCTATTTAGGACTCGTCGGCTGAATGTACCGTCATTTCCCAGTGAGTGATGATGTTCCCACCAAGGCTCGAAACCAGTGCCCACAGTTTCAAACGTCAAAGCGTTATCCACTAGACTGTTAGGGCCATGAGAGTCACCTCTTGTGCAATGAGTCTTATTGATGATAATTCAATTTTAGACTTTCCCATCGATTGATTCGACCGAAGTACTCGGTCTCAGGCTGAGATGTCGGCTCCTTGTGCAGATGCTTCGACGATGTTTCATCATGTAATTTGAAGTCAACTGGTGGATGGTGACTAGCAGGTACATCCTGATGACGAGTCCTAAATAGGACGAAATGTACATCCTGTACATCTACTGCTAGTCACCATCTACCAATTGACTTCAAGTTACATGATGAGACATCGTCGAAGCATCTGTACAAGGAGCCGACATGTCAACCTGGGACCGAGTACTTCGGTCGAATCAGTCGATGGGAAAAGCTATAATTGAATTAAATAAATTTATTTGAGTTTATTGAATGTTGTTGGAGACAGTTATCAACGGGGTTGTGCTAAAAGTGTACATGATATACGACATCGTCTAAAAGTTGAATGTAATAGAAAATAGTTGTTTGTGTCGATGATATCTAGGCTCTCTCCAAATGAATATTAAAACAGTTCTCCACACTTTATTACTGATATTTTATTAGTAGTAGTCATCCAAATCATGCATATCTCTGGCTTTAAATTGCTAGTTTCTTCTTATCGCCATATGAAAAAAAAATGGTTTGAAATTAGGTTGGTAGAAAAGCTTGATGATCAGGGATGCAGAAAAGCAACAAGTTTCACTTCACTCTTATAGACACACTTGATGAACACTGTTATAAACGTGTTCACTCGATGATTCTGACAACCTTAAAAGTCATTTGTTATCCATCAATTCCTGTTAGTCTTACAGAGGCTTTTTGTTTTGTTCCTCAGCACGATTACAATGTGACCATGAAAATTATTTTCATACTTCTTTTCATTGGCTAATATGATATAGATTTTCGCATACGTATACCTTGAATCGTAATTCTGGAGAATAAAGGAAGCTGCCTTTAAAGTTAACACTATTAAGTGTAAACGGTGGATTGGGCATACTCTGTGGAGACCATCGAGTGATATCACGCGCCAGGACTTCGAGTGGGAAATAAAGAGTTGCGCATCTGAGGGTGACATAGAGGAGGGGATGAGAGCTTATGGACAATCGTGGAGATAGCTAAATAGGATAGCAGAGAGAAGAATGAAATAGGGATGTGTTGTTTGAAGCCAGGGGAATAATAATAGTAATTCATGTTGGATTTAGAATACTGAATAAATAAGTATAAGTAATCTTTGTCGATGCGTCGTTTTTCTTGAAAGAACAAATAATTCACAGTTACATTTTTATTAATCTTACAGCATTAAACAAATAGCTGTACAAACTATGTAGACAGAAAGAGAGAGAGAAAGAAATACATTAACTATCCAAAAGACAGTGTGAGTTACTGTGATCGGAATATATATGATGGTTTAGAGGGTAGATTTTCTGCATTACTGAGTTTTGTCCATATTGTTTTTAGGAGACGGGTAGGTTTGGAAATCTGAAATTAAACCAATAAAATGGTTGTATTAAATACTTGAAAGGTTAATTAAAGTCACTTTTGAGAAAATATTCTTACTCATCTTATAAACGCTGTGTTAGCATTACAATTTTCTCTTTTTTTCCCTACACACTCAGCTTTGAAAAGCATGTGCTACCAAGTTACTTAACGTAATGTGATCATAAATGAAAAAGAATGTTTTGCAACATTTCTTAGAATACGTTGAAGGCACAGCTGTAGAATGCTCACCGACCACGCACGTGGTCCGGGATTCGATCTCCGGCCACTGACGCACTCCCATACCTCTCTAAGCTGGTAAAGAGTAAAGGTTGGGTATGAGGTTAGCGACCCCACTCCGTAAAATCTGAACACCACTGCTACCGAAACTTCAAGCGTCTAGCTTGAAGCCCTATGTTTCACTTGAAACGTAAAGAAATAAAAATAACATTTATTAGATTACTAAAGTTACAGAGTAGATTGTTTCATATGTATGATACCCATAAAAAGGCGAGAAGAGAATAACAACTTGGCTGTGCATAGACAGTTCAGCTGGTTTCTTTGCAAACAACTTATTTTCACTGTTAAGAAGTAGTTTATAGTAAAGGTGTGCAAGGGTTATAACTTTCATAATTTCCTATGGAGATCAGGAGAATGAATAAAACTGTCTCAAAAGAATGACAATGTGGTTTTGCTCAAATACCTGAGTCAATTATGGAAAATGTAACCTCACATAGGTTAAATAAAACGCTATTTGATTTCTTCTGGTTGAGTGAGCTGCACATTTTTGTTACAAAATAACGTAATCTAACTATTCTGTAGCTTTTTTCCACCTTATCCCTGTGTTGGTGGACAGTCTTAATCAAGATAAGTTATCTTTGCAAATTTGTAAGGCCTTCGAAGCAGTTAAGTTTTACTTTCTTCAACCGGAGCATTAATTTTAACTGTATCAGTATCTATTTAATGAGGCTGTGAGGTGATATCTTTATTTAGAAAGTAGCTTACATCTGTTTTAAAGGATCTTATTTTGTAGCTGTTTAGTAAAAGGATGTTTGCAAAGTCACTTCCCCTGAGAATGTCAAAGTACTGTGATAAGATTGCTTTATCACTGTTTGGAATTAATAATTAGCACTGATATCTGGTGAATTGAGGAATGAATTAGTGAAAACCTACTAATACTTTAACTTATAGTAACCCCAGGCAGACATTCATGTGCAATGTTAAGAGTGTTTCTGATGATGAATTGATAAATGTATGAGTTTCATAGAGTTTATATTTGTTCTTTGACATAACAATCTCAAAATATAAAAGCCACTCATGTTTCTACTAGTTAGGAGTTATATCCACGGTGTGAATAGTAATATTTTCCCATTCTTTTCTGTAACTGCAAATGTGAATCCGAATGTATTGATTCAATTTTGAATTTTCAAGAATTAGTTTGTAGGGATTGTATTTATTTCAGGTGCTCGGTAGTGACTGGCTATAGGACGAAGTTGCCTGAAGTTCTAGTGAAAAGCCGTGATCACTGGGGTCTATCCAGTAGGGAGTGAGGGTGGATTTCCCCCCGATTACATTGGTTAGTGGTCGTGCTAAAACCACAAATTGGTAGAAGTTAGAATTCATAGACTGGCCATTGAGTCGGGTCCCAGTGTCTGAATGGTATACGAGCTTGCCTTGTAACTGGAAGTACCTGGGTTCGACCCCAGTGGGTGGGTACTGTCGAAGAATCCCAAATTAGGACAACGGAAACAGCTGTCCAGTACTCGCCGCTGGTTTTAATTGGTTCTCTAACTGATATCAATCCGTGGTATAACCTGAATCGATTTCGAATGATTTTTAGACATTTTGATATTTTACAGCCATCATTATTTATTTTTTGGGTGTTTGAGTGTTAATTATCTTGTCAAATTTTCAAGCTGTATTTGTAAAAGTAACCTTCTCATCAGTATGGTAAGCATACAGTCGATATTTAGATCTAGTTCAAGTGGACCTGCCATCAGTAATTCTATAGATAATTCATGGGTATTTTTGTATGTAGAGAATAACAGATTTTTCTAAATTTGCACATGTCACCTATTCCCCCCCCCCATATCGCTCACTAGGCAGTTTTTGTCATTGTAGATGTGGAAGTCTTATTCCACTGAATTTATTCATATTACTAGACGCCGTGGTGTATTGCTTTAGATGTTTCACTCTCAACTACTGGGTCACACTCTAAGGGCGGTAAAGCGATATCAGACTGGCTACTTACCAAGTGTATGTGAATATGCATTCGGTCG